CCCCCACCCCACAATGGAACTTTTAATCTCAAAGTACAAAAGACCTTCAGGAAGGTATTGAAGACCAGGAGTAATTTTACATATACAAGGTAATTTCTGCAGTTAAATGCATGAGAATGGAAAATTTTAAATATTCAGTTGTTTTAACTAACATTATTTGAAAGAACAAAATTTACAAAACAAGAGATCCGTGAGGGATCTTGGCACCCACCATTGTACCATCTTCATTAGTGTATGTCAGTTTGATCTTTTCTCTTCTTTTCTCTTATCTGTTTGATCAAGTCATGTAAACAGTAAATGCACCGTTTCTCATATTTACTAGTACAGTTCTTAAAATGTAAGAGAAATAGATCCGATCATTACAATATTAGAAAGATCTCATTACTACTGACATTAGTACTTCCTATGGCCATCTTGTTTTCATGAACACTCTCCAACACGAACATGCACAACGACAAACCTGAGAAACCTACTAATCAAATTTGATAAAGTTCCCTCCAAAACTTCCTGAGGATTAGCAATAACAATTATTCACTGTCAATATCCAAGATGGCCTTCTGTCAGCCATTTTGTCTATTTGATCATTTCAAAAGTAAACTTGCACAATAAGGGACCAAGGGGAACCTACAGATAAAATTTGAGAAAGATCCCTCCAGAACTTTCTGAAAAATAGCGATAAACATGCACGGTCAAATTTCAAGATGGCCGCCTGTCGGCCATTTTGTTTACCCCATCAGTTTCAAAAGTAAACATGAACAACTACAGACCAAGGGGAACCCTCATATCAAATTTGAGTAAGATCCCTCTTGTACTTGCTGAGAAATAGCAATAACAAGAATTGTTTAAGGATGGACGATGGATGGATGAAGGGTGATTTGAATAGCCCACCATCAGATGATGGTGGACTAAAAATACAACAAAGAAATGAGCAACATCTGACATTTGTTAAAGATTTCCTATTCCAAATATAGGAAGGTTTCTAAGGCAAGGAGCAAATTTAAATAAACAAGGTAATTTCTGCAGTAAAATGTATAAAAGAATGAGAATTGAAAATTGGAATTATTCAGTTGTTTCAATTATTATGGTTTGAGGGAACAAGATTTGACTACAGAATGGCAGGAATTGGTGTGGCTCTATTTTTCAAACCAACTGAAATACCAAGTTTGAGATAACTGATATAATTTCTTTTCGTCTGGAAAAGAAATGTAAATGAAATCCAGATAAGCAAATTCCATTCTAAGTGACCTTGATGACCTTTGACAAAGCAAGCTATGCAGGTTATATATGTGAATGTTTATTTTTAGTAACACCTCCTCCGGCAACTCACATACTAAGTCTGGGTTTTGTGTAATCATCCATTCTGAAGTGATCGGGCCAAAATAAGGTAACAGTATCAATACTACATTGTTAATTTTGGAACTCTTCAATGTCGACTCTAGTTCATCAACAGCCTGAACTGCAATATCCTTTTCAGTTCATCATAGGATTTACAAACGTCACAGCAGAATTCTCCGACAAGTTACCCAATCCTGGTCTGCTCAGTCTTACTCACCAATAGCTGCTCGTCTTGGTTTGTTTCCTTTAAAAAAAAAAAAAATTATTAGAATTGCAAGTAAAACTTTCTTTCAGTCAAAGCACTTTTATATATCGGGCTCGGAAACAAGTACCTATCCAGTTGAATGCTAGATAGAAAGGTATAGAAAGGTATAATTTTTGCCTTTTTGCCCTCCATAATGAGGGCTATCATGAAGTCGATATTACTAAACAGTATAACATAGGTAGTGAACACATGTTAGGGCAATACCATTCCCTATCTACATGTATCTGAGTGCTGGTAAGTAAATATTTATATGTATGGTACTTAGATAAATCCCTTACCAATACAACAGATCCCAGAGGGAACTTGGCACCCACCATCATAAGATCTTCATGGGTTTTATGTAAGATTAATATTTTCTTTTCTCTTATCTGTTTGACTGCAAATGCATCTTGTGGTAACGTGCAGTTATGTTTTGACCTTTTTTATGAGAATATACATTTAAATTGATGAGAGCTATCTGTGAAAAAATCAGAAATAGGGATAACAAACTTGTACTGTCAAATCCAAGAAAGATCATTGGCAGCAATCTTGTTCTTCTGGTCAGTCTAACAAGAGATCCTGGAAGGATCTTGGCACCCACCATGAAAGGATCTTTATCAGTTCTACAGACGATTATCTTTGCTCTTCATTTCCCTTACAGGAACTACATGTATTACCCAGTCCCATGTTGGAAATCCTGAACAGGAAACTTGTACAGTAACCGAAACCTCTTAAGTCATATGTTAATTTTGTCACTATGGCACATGTTGTTCCATAAGAATTGCATAACTATATGCAAAATGCTGAAATCTTGTAATCGGTACATAAATAGAAGTTCTGTTAATGACAGATGAATTCTCATTAGGGCCAGAGGTATTTTCAACAAGAGGCCCAGATGGCATGTAGCGCTCACCTGGATATTTAAGCAGTCATAGCAAAATATTAAATAAATATTATACTGTTCTCCTGTCCCTATTGGGATGGGCATGGTTTCTTCAACACTGAATTATGTTGGGCCAATGATACTCTATATTAGTTTAGATTGAAATAAAGATATAGGATAAAGTTGGTGAAAGTCATTTTCATTCGCAAACGTTGTTGGGCTCCATCTTAGGAAGCTATAAAGCTACTTGTTAGATATCACGGCTCCATGCCTTTCACTTCTTCAAAAGAAGCTGTTTGCAGTTCATTCGCAAACATTGTCGGACTCAATCCCAAGTAGCAACCAGCCAAATAATATGATTCTATGCATTTTGATTATTCAGAAAAGGTTGCATGATAAGTTTGACACTTTTGACCCCTGTGACCTTGAAAGTGTGTCAGGTAATTTTCATTCGCAAGCTCAATCCCTAGAAGCCACCAGCCAAATATTAAGATTCTGTACCTTTCAGTTCTTTAGAAGAAGTCGTTTGAAGTGTTTGACATATTTGACCGCTGTGACCTTGATAGTAGGTGACTGTAGGCTGTTCATTCTTCAGAAGAAGTTGTTAAAAGAAAAGTTGACGGAAAACGAATGGACAACAGGTGCCGCACCATGGCATAAGCTCACTAGCCCTTCGGCTTTGAGCTAGCAAGGGGACCAAACATAGCGATAACAAAATTGAACTGCCAAAATTAAGATGGGGAACATTCATATTATATTTGAAACAGATCCCACCAGTACTTTCTGAGAAATAGTCCTAACAAGAATTTTTAAAGGATGGACAGACATGGCTGCCTGGCAGCCAACTTGATCCTTCAATCTGCTTCAAAATAAAACATGCACAACTACGACTAAGGATAAACCGACATTGAAATTTGAGACGTTCCTTCCCGTTCTTTCTGAGAAAAAGCAAAAACAAGATTTAACTCTGCAAATTCATGGTCAGTGCCAAGATTCAATACGAACAACTAAGGACAATAGGGAACCTACATGTGAAAGTTGAGAAAGACTCTATAAGTATATTCGAAGAAATAGCAGCAACGAGAATTATTTAAGGATGAATGAATGACGAACCACAAACAAAAGGCAATTTAACAAACCATCAACTGATGATGTTGGGCTAAAATTGCTCAATCAAAACAGTGAATTCTCTAACATTCTTATTCAGAAATTTAACTTTTTCAAATAATTATAGTTTGTTTCAATTTTTGGAGAGTAATTCTTTTTACATAGAGCAGTGACTTTTGTGACTGACATTGACATTATACATGTTCCTGACGTGACCTCGGTTGTATGTTACAGAGTTTTGTGATAACATTATTTTTTTATTTGTTCTATAATTCCTATACAACATTGTAACATTGCTGTCCATCATACCCCTGTCTGCTGATATAACGGTAAGGTGTTCTTTCACAGCACCAACATCATCCCTGACAGCCCCGACATCATCCCTCACAGCACTGACATCATCCCGCACAGCTACGACATCATCCCTAACAGCCCCGACATCATCCCTGATATCACTGACATCATCCAGCACGGCACCAACATTGCCTGTCAAAATGTTGAAACAAATTAGTTTCTGAATATTTAAACAGTCATAGCAAAATATTCTCATTAAATATTATCCTGTACTACAAATATTTCACTGGCAAACATTGTCTGATCCATCCCAGGAAGCTACCAGCCAAATGTAATAAATCTATACTCTAAGATTAATCAGAAGAAGTCGCTGAATTGTTTGACACATTTTACCCCTGAGACCTTGAAAGTAGGTCAAGGTCATTTTCATTCTCAAACTTTATTGGGCTCTATCCCAAGAAGCCACCAGTCAAATATGAATATTTCATACCTTTTAGTTCTTCAGGAGAAGCTGTTTGAAGAGTTTTACATATATTTGACTGCTGTGACCTTGAAAGAAGTTCAAAGTAATTATCATTCTGAAACTTTGTCGGCGGGCTCTATCTCAGGAAGCAACCAGCCATATATGAAGATTCTATACCTTGACATATTTGACCGCTTTGACCTTGAAAGTAGGTCAAGGTCATTTTCATTCTCAAACTTTATCGGGCTCTATCCCAGGAAGCCACCAGCCAAATATGAAGATTCTGTACCTTTCAGTTCTTCAGAAGAAGTCGTTTGCAGTGTTTGACACATTTGACCCATGTGACCATGAAAGTAGGTCAAGGTCATTTTTGTTCTTTAACTTTGTTAGGCTCATACCAAAGAAGCTTTCAGCTAAATAACATGACTCTAGGCCTGTCCGTTCGTCAGAAGAAGTTGTTTAAAGGAAAAGTTTACAGACGACGGACGCAGCACCATGATATAAGCTCACTTGCCCTTTCGGGCAGGTGAGCTAAAATGTCTGACAAATATCATTACAGGAATGATTGATTGGTGCAATTTTCACAAAGGTTTCACTTCACTGGTTGGTGTGTATGGTGCTCATTCCTTTGAACTTGAATGATAGGATTTTGACGAAGATTTCACTTTCAGTGTGTACAGTGCTACCTTCGTACTTTGTTGATATTGTCCTGTCGGAGGTTTCACTTGATCCACTTGATCTGAACAAAGGTTTCTTTTTCTTCGTGTGTATCATGCTACCTTTGCACTTAGGTAAATTGATATAATCTTGACAAAACTTTGACTACTTTGCTGTGTTTTGTGCTCATTTTGCTTAAGAAATTACTCATTTTACTCATCAGTATCAAACCTCAACGTTGATATCTTGGTGCAGCCATTTTAGGACTTTAGGACCCTGATTTGTACAAATCTTATGTTACTTGGACGTGGCTCCACCTTTCACAAGAAACAAGAGAGTGCATGTGGTCATCTTGAACCAACTTAGGGCCAGACCAAAGGGTCAATACTAATATCATGATCGTGTTTGTCTCGCGATGCCCAGCAATGGTATATTTGGTTACAGGTGGGGATCTCAACCATTTAAAAGTTATGGCTCAGGAATAAATTTCCAAGGAATGGGGCCAGTCTCATTATTCAGCTATTTAAGGAATGAAACAACGCGATTCATGGTGTATGTCTAAAAAGCCAAGGAATGGGGTCAGCCTCATTATTCAATTCCTTAAGGAATGAAATAACGCAATTCATGGAATATGTCCAGAAAGCCAAGGAAAGAGGCCAACCCCATTATTCAATTATTTAAGGAATGAAATAACGCGATTCATGGAATATGTCCAGAAAGCCAAGGAATGGGGCCAACCCCATTATTCAATTATTTAAGGGATGAAATAACGCGATTCATGGAATTGGTCCAGAAAGCCTATATTGTTATGACCTCATGAATGTTGAAAAAAATAATTGCATTCCTTATATTTACATTTTTAAGCACTTTCATTATTATCCCGAAGCAAGCATATATAAAACAAATACATGTATTGTTTTCTATTTATACATGGGGGCAACGCAGTAGAGAGAACAGCTTGTTTTCGCGGGAAAATGTAAAACTACTGTTGGTGGTCCTAGCAACAGCATGACAACAAAACAAACAAAATTATAGTCTACTCTTTCAAATTTAATTTGTAGAGTTTATACAAGTGGTATATTATCATCGTGTTCTTTACACACATTATTTAAGCATTAAAATCAAGTCAATCATATTTAGTATAAATTCATATTAGCATAACAACATTGAGGGCTGTTCCACAGCGGACGTGAACCAAGTACGTCATGCGCTACGTCATTTTAGTGTATCAATATGCAGTGATGAGCTCACCTGTGTTAGGCAATGGGTCCAAGCATATAGAATGTAAACATAATATCATGTGTGTGTCTATCTGTTTATTCCTATAAAATGAATATATGCTTATGGGTAGGGACCTAAACCGTTTCAAAGTTATGTCCCAGAAACTAGGTCCCTAGGGGTAGGGCCAGACACAAGAGTAAATACTAATACAAGTGTGTTCATCTCTTGATGCCAAGCAATGGTATATATGGTTATTGGGTGGGGATCTCAACCGTTTCAAAGTATTTAATTGAATCAGAAATTAAGTCCCTTGGGTATATGAAATGGATTTACAAAACCTTACCTTAATTTCCCCCATTTGGACCCAGCCCTCTGCCCCAAGTTTACACAACAATGAGTCAGCTTTGCCTAGCAGTGCTCCAGACCAAATTTGATCAAAATCCATTCAGATGCACTGAGGATGGACAGATGACGGACACCACGCCATGACATAAGCTCCCCAGTCCTTCAGAGCTAACAATGAAACAACATACCTTGTAGGTCAGCCATATCTGTTTCCATCGTGTCCAGTTTGACAGACATACCAGCCATATCACCTGAAGAGACAGATAAGTACATCATTAAATTGATAATTTCTAACTTTCTCAGTAGTGATATACAGCTCTAAAATATTAGTTTATCAAAAGAGCTGTGATTTATTTGCGTTACTTTTTTTACCTATTTTAATGTGGTAAGCTATATTATGGAACAGGAATTGTTGGAGAACAGCATGGCTAGCTCACATGTTAATGACATTAGTGAAGATTCCCTGTAATTGCCAGAATGCCTTAACCATCTTTGAAAATTGCACACCATTATAAAATGTTGAACAATGAAATGTCTAAATATCTCGATATATAGATGTAGGCTTTGTTTATAGATTTACTGTATAACGGGAAACTTTCGCCCTACAACTGTAAATATTGTTTAGTATGTATAATAAGTTGATGATGTATCTCAATATCTAGATTTAGGCTATGTTTATAGATTTAAATATAATGTGACCCTAACCTTGTGTGTATAGATTTAATGTGACCTTGACTTTGTGTGTATGGTTAAGATTTAATGTTACCTTGACCTTGTGTGTAAGGACAATATTTAATGTGACCTTGACATTGTGTGTATGGACAAGATTTAATGTTACCTTGTCCTTGTGTGTAAGGACAATATTTAATGTGACCTTGACATTGCGTGTATGGACAAGATTTAATGTGGCCTTGACCTTGTGTCTATGGACAAGATGTAATGTGACCTTGACCTTGTGTTTATGGTTATGATTTAATGTAGCCTTGACTTTGTGTGTATGGTTAAGATTTAATGTGACCTTGACATTGCGTGTATGGACAAGATTTAAGGTTACCTTGACTTTGTGTGTATGGTTATGATTTAATGTAACCTTGACCTTGTGCGTATGGATAATATTTAATGTGACCTTGACATTGCGTGTATGGACAAGATTTAATGTTACCTTGACATTGTGTGTAAGGACAATATTTAATGTGCCCTTGACCTTGTGTGTAAGGACAATATTTAATGTGCCCTTGACATTGTGTGTATGGACAAGATTTAATGTGACCTTGAACTTGTGTGTATGGACAATAATTAATGTGACATTGACCTCGTGTGTATGGACAAGATTTAAGGTGACCTTGACTTTGTGTGTATGGTTATGCTATAATGTAACCTTGACCTTGTGCGTATGGATAATATTTAATGTGACCTTGACCTTGTGTGTATGGACAAGATTTAATGTTACCTTGACCTTGTGTGTATGGTTATGATTTAATGTAACCTTGACTTTGTGGGTATGGTTAAGATTTATTGTTACCTTGACCTTGTGTGCATGGACAAGATTTAATGTGACCTTGAACTTGTGTGTATGGACAATAATTAATGTGACATCGACCTCGTGTGTATGGACAAGATTTAATGTGGCCTTGACCTTGTGTCTATGGCCAAGATGTAATGTGACCTTGACCTTATGTGTATGGTTAAGATTTAATGTTACCTTGACCTTGTGTGTAAGGACAATATTTAATGTGACCTTGACAATTGTGTGTATGGACAAGATTTAAGGTGACCTTGACCTTGTGTGTATGGTTATGATTTAATGTAACCTTGACCTTGTGTGTATGGACAAGATTTAATGTGGCCTTGACCTTGTGTCTATGGACAAGATGTAATGTGACCTTGACCTTATGTGTATGGTTAAGATTTAATTTGACCTTGACCTTATGTGTATGTTTAAGATTTAATGTGACCTTGACCTTGTGTGTATGGACAAAATTTAATGTGACCTTGACCTTATGTTATGGACAAGATTTAATGAGACCTTGACCTTGTGTGTATGGACAAGATTTAATGTGACCTTGACCTTAAGTGTATGATTAAGATTTAATGTGACCTTGACCTTATGTGTATGGTTAAGATTTAATGTGACCTTGACCTTGTGTGTATGGAAAGATTTAATGTGACCTTGACCTTGTGCATATGAACAAGATTTAATGTGACCCTGACCTTGTGCGTATGGGTAAGATTTAATGTAACCTTGACCTTATGTGTATGGTTAAGATTTAATGTGACCTTGACCTTGTGTATATGGACAAAGCTGTGGTTTGCCACCCACTGCCAAGCCATCATACTTGTGCCTTAACATTTCCTGGAGTTAACCACAGCAACTTAGAAGCTACACCCACACAATTAATTTAAATTTGACCTCAATGTGACCGTGACCTTGGGCATACAGACCCAATAGTGGTACTTAACACATTGCCTTATACCATCCAACAATACCTTAAAATTTCACTGAGTTATCTTCAAAGATACAGAAGTTATGTCCTTGGCAAACACTTGGTGGAAAGAATGGATTGAAAACTGGGTGACAACATGCTCCCCGTATGATTTGGGGAAGCATAACGAGAGAACCCAGACAGATCTTGACGCCCACAAATTTGTACCATCTTCATTAGTTCTTTGTCAGTTCAATCTTTTCTATTCTGATCTTGTTTGATCGAGACATGGAAACAGTAAATGCACCTTGAGGTAACTCATACTGATGTGTATAAAAGACAATTTTCAAAGTGAGTTTGTCGTTTCACATATTTACTAGTACAGTACTTAATGTTAAAGAAATAGCACCAATCAGTGCAATGGGAGAAAGATCTGTTAAGTTCTTCCTGTGGCCATCTTATTTTTATGATCACTCTCAAAATAAAACATGCACAACTAAGGACCAAGTAGAACCTACATATCAAATTTGGAAAAAGACCTCAAGTCATTTCTGAGAATTAACAACTTTATCTTTCAAAATCCTAGATGGCCGTCTGTCGGCCATTTTGTTTATTTTATCATTCTCAAGGTGAACATGCACAACTACAGACTAAGAGGAACCTAAACATCTAATTTGAGAAAGATTCTTCCAGTAATTTCTGAGTAAAAGCACTATCAAACTTTAACTCAAAAAGAAAACAAGATGGTGCCTATCGGCCATCTTGAATTTCCGATCTGCCATCAACTTTAGTCAGTTGATACCTTGTTTGATTGTGGCCAACTTTGCTTCATAATGTCAAAACAAGGTGTTAAGCAGTTAAAAGATACAAAATCTGACCTTGACCTTTGATCAGTTTACTTCTTGTTGTATTGTGACCAATTTTGCTTCATAATGTCATAACAAAATGTTTACCAGTTGAGAGCAAAACAAAAATGATTTTTTTAATGTTAAAATCCAAGATGGCGGATTAGCAGCCATTTTGAATCCGATCTACCCGAACAATTACCAAGCAGAACTAGGATGCATGGGAACTCATCATGTAAAATTTGAAAAACAATCCATTTACTTCCATCAATATTGCGCAAAAGAAAAAAAACGGACAGCCTGCGGACAGCCCGACAGACGGACAAACTGATCACATGCATTTTAAGGGCTATGGGGAAATTTATAAATGAGATTTGGAAAGACTCTTCCAGTAATTCTTGGCAAATAGTGATACTAAGAATTATATAAGGACAGCCCATGGGACCATGGACAAAGGCGATTTGAACAACTCGTCATCTGATGTATATGACTATAACCTGACAATCCAACATCTAACCTACCTTTTATATCCAATAGAAAATCCTCGATGTATTTATTTGTCATTCTGTGGTCCATCTCCATGGTAAGTATATCATCCACTGCCACTACAAAACGCCCTGTATTCAGCTCACTGTTTTGTATTTCCTCCACACTTTGGCGGATGATGTCCCACCTTGCCTGAAACTCTCCGTCAGAAAGGGAGCCATTGGGTGCATGTGCAGCCTCATTGCGCTGCTCACGTAGACGGTCGATGTTGGCTGACAGCGATCTGTCTGCTATACCCGGTACCTTCCCCCAACCATTCTGATGAGGTGGAATATTTCCAATGTTTCTTAGAAGGATGTAAAGAAGTGATGTGTCCAAATCCTTCACAAAACCTTGATACACCCCACCTTGAGGATACAGAATGTTCTTTTGATGTTGCTTCAACACAGAAAAGATCTTCCTTTTCTGGGTGGTAAGTACTGCAGGTAGTCCTGATGCTGGCAACCGAGTGTTGAGCAAATCTCGCAATAATTCTGGGATGACCTTAAAGACCACCCTGCAAATTCGTGCAAAATTTGTGGTTTCCTTGGAAGACTGGTAATTGGTAGCCATCTTTGATTTGGTTTAAATGATGAAAGCAAGGGTGATGCTGGAAAATAGAGAAAATATGTCAGAATATCATTGCAGCTCAGATCAAGGAGGGCAGGGGTATAAATAGTTATAAGTATGGCCTAGTATCCAATAGTCTGGTTTCCCTTCAGTAAGCGTGTGCCCTGTGTTGAACAGTGTCTGGCTTACAGCTGGTTATCGTCCATAATGCTTTTGTCTTTTTTGGCTGAATCAGCTTTAGCAGTCAAATCAAATTGATCAGCTTTAAGGCAGACTATGCATGCTTGTCCTGATCTATCAACTGCTGATTGAACATCACGGATGGTTGCCCTGAGCAATATAACCTACTGTCGGCATTCATCCGTGACGTTTGATGAACCATTATCGTTAACTAACAATGGCGTCGCTGATCAGAGAGACATATTCATGTATTATTAATAAGGATGTTAATACATCGTTTTAATATCAAACCTTCCTCCCATTGTCTGTCCCTTGGTCAAGCGGTGAATCAAGGCACAAGTTTATTGTGGTTTGACATGTACAGCTGTATTACCCACAACAGATGTTATAATAAGTGGTATAATGAGTGATTGCCTACATCCCTTGTCAAAGGGAGCAATCATATATGTACAGGTACAGTTGGTCACTTACGGAGGGGGGGGGTTATGGGGGATAAATCACAATTTCCACTTCCTGTTCCAGGGGAATTGAGAGTTTGTTTGCCCGCAGGGCTTTCACATTAGTACAGGAGTAAATCTCGTTTAGACAAAATACTTATGTGTGTCAAGTAATGAGTGTCTTCCAAATAGCTAATATCTGGGTATTTCTATATCTGTTCAGGCATCCGTAAAACCACTCATCCATGACGAAGTAGGACAAGGGTATAACATGGCAAATATTGTATGGCAATTCATACTGCACCCGTTCTTTACTTACCCACAATAGATGTTATAATAAGTGGTATAATGAGTGATTGCCTACATCCCTTGTCAAAGGGAGCAATCATATATGTACAGGTACAGTTGGTCACTTACGGAGGGGTGGGGTTATGGGGGATAAATCACAATTTCCACTTCCTGTTCCAGGGGAATTAAGGGTTTGTTTGCCAGCAGGGCTTTCACATTAGTACAGGAGTAAATCTCGTTCAGACAAAATACTTATGTATTTATGTATTGCTATGACATATTCCAGGGGAGCAGAGATTGAAAGTGAGCGTAACCCCTGGATATCAAGGATGGACACTTTGAGAACTGTACTGTACAATAATTTACATGGTAAGACCAACTGTCAGTGTACGTACACGTACAATCAATTCAAGGTAACCGGCCCCAACAGGTTTAAAGGCTATATCATTGCACCATTATTCCAATACTACAACAATTATTTGAAAACCAAAATCAGATGAAATGCTCCTATTGAATTTATCTATACACTTAGTCTAAGAGGAAGAGGGGTACATACAGTCTACAGTATAATTATTAGCTGGGACAGATGATAATTTTCATCCGATATTAAAATTCCCTGTCTGACTAAGAACATAAATAAATCCACCGAAACATACCATTACATCATGCGTGTAAATATCATCATGATATTAGACGGGGCGAAAAAGTGTCTTTCTTTCTAAACATTATCTCCGGGTTGGTAAGTTATAATAAACAGGAGATAGTTTATGTATCACAACCATCAAGTACATGTATTTATGTATCACAACAAACAAGTACATGTATTTATGTATCCCAACCAACAAGTACATGTATTTATGAATCAAAACCATCAAGTACATGTATTTGTGTGTCACAACCAACAAGTACATGTAATTATGTATCACAACCAACAAGAACATGTATTTATGTATCACAAACATCAAGTACATGTATTTATGAATCACAACCAACAAGTACATGTAATTATGTATCACAACCAACAAGTACGTGTATTTATGTGTCACAACCAACAAGTACATGTATTTATGAATCACAACCAACAAGTACATGTAATTATGTATCACAACCAACAAGTGCATGTATTTATGTATCACAACCAACAAGTGCATGTATTTATGTATCACAACCAACAAGAACATGTATTTATGTGCGACGTTTCAATGACAACCAACTTATCAACTTGTGGTGACCATTTTTAAATCTTCTCTATGTTGGTCGTTATTTTAACAACATGAACAATAACAAGTATGATATGTAGTGAGGTCATAGCTCAAAACAGTGGTATATCCAAGATGGCTAACATTGTGTGAACAGCGGGGATCCTCACAATTCAGCCCCCTCCCTACTTTTTGTAAAACATTTCTCACTAGGGGTGGGGGCTTATTTGTAGATAAATGTGGTGTTGGTAAGTTATAATAAACAGGAGATAGTTTATGTATCACAACCATAAAGTACATGTATTTATGTATCACAAACATCAAGTACATGTATTTATGTACCACAACCATCAAGTACATGTATGTATGTATCACAACCATCAAGTACATGAATTTATGTGTCACAACCAACAAGTACATGTATTTATGAATCACAACCAACAAGTACATGTAATTATGTATCACAACCAACAAGTACATGTACTTATGTATCACAACCATCAAGTACATTTATTTATGTATCACAACCATCAAGTACATGAATTTATGTGTCACAACCAACAAGTACATGTATTTATGTGTCACAATCATCAAGTACATGTATTTATGTACCACAACCATCAAGTACATGTATGTATGTATCACAACCATCAAGTACATGAATTTATGTGTCACAACCAACAAGTACATGTATTTATGTATCCCAACCAACAAGTACATGTATTTATGTGTCACAATCATCAAGTACATGTATTTATGAATCAAAACCATCAAGTACATGTATTTGTGTGTCACAACCAACAAGTACATGTAATTATGTATCACAACCAACAAGAACATGTATTTATGTGCGACGTTTCAATGACAACCAACTTATCAACTTGTGGTGACCATTTTTAAATATTCTCTATGTTGGTCGTTATTTTAACAACATGAACAATAACAAGTATGATATGTAGTGAGGTCATAGGTCAAAACAGTGGTATATCCAAGATGGCTGACATTGTGTGAACAGCGGGGATACTCACAATTCAGCCCCCTCCCTACTTTTTGTAAAACATTTCTCACTAGGGGTGGGGGCTTATTTGTAGATAAATGTGGTAGTACTATACTCTGTCACCTTCATCAGAAAACGACCAGTGAAGCATATGTACACAAAGATATAAAATATGTTCGAGCTGGCAATATTAAATCAAAGAATAAAGTTGTTTTTCATGATCTTAATGTTTGTTTTAGTATCTTGTAGTGTATTCCACTAAACAATACTTTCATATCAATTCTTATCCAATTGGAAAATGGAGCCTAAGCATGCAGAAATAGTATTTTAGACAAGAGCTGTAGGAGAACAGCTAACTTGTCTATTAAAATTATTATTGTAAAAAGTGCTAATAGTAATTGGGCCATTACAGGATGTCCCATCTTAGATAATAAATCAGGAAAGTAGAACTACATTGTATTATTTTATACATGTATATATCTACAGTGTACATGTGAATATTCACCAAAATATCTTATCCATTGCCCACAATGGCCGTGGTTTGTAGCTACAGTTAGAATTACGCCCAAGTATCCNTTTCCCCTATTGGGCCTCACCCCTCAGGCCCCTGGGGGGCCACACCCATGGTTTATACAAAATTGGTTCCCCTTCTCCCAAGGATGCTTCAGACCAAATATGGAACAAATCCTTTCATTCCTACAGAAAAAGAAGGATTTTAAAGAATTTGCTATATTTCCCCTGTTTGGCCCTGCCCCTCAGCCCCCAGGGGGGCCACACCCACGATTTATACAAAATTGGTTCCCCTTCACCCAAGGATGCTTCAGACCAAATATGGAACAAATCCTTTTATTCCTACAGAAGAAGAAGGATTTTTAAGAATAATTTGCTATGTTTCCCCTATTGGGCCTCACCCCTCAGGCCCCTGGGGGGCCACACCCATGGTTTATACAAAATTGGTTCCCCTTCTCCCAAGGATGCTTCAGACCAAATATGGAACAAATCCTTTCATTCCTACAGAAAAAGAAGGATTTTAAAGAATTTGCTATATTTCCCCTGTTTGGCCCTGCCCCTCAGCCCCCAGGGGGGCCACACCCACGATTTATACAAAATTGGTTCCCCTTCACCCAAGGATGCTTCAGACCAAATATGGAACAAATCCTTTTATTCCTACAGAAGAAGAAGGATTTTTAAGAATAATTTGCTATGTTTCCCCTATTGGGCCTCACCCCTCAGGCCCCTGGGGGGCCACACCCATGGTTTATACAAAATTGGTTCCCCTTCTCCCAAGGATGCTTCAGACCAAATATGGAACAAATCCTTTCATTCCTACAGAAAAAGAAGGATTTTAAAGAATTTGCTATATTTCCCCTGTTTGGCCCTGCCCCTCAGCCCCCAGGGGGGCCACACCCACGATTTATACAAAATTGGTTCCCCTTCACCCAAGGATGCTTCAGACCAAATATGGAACAAATCCTTTTATTCCTACAGAAGAAGAAGGATTTTTAAGAATAATTTGCTATGTTTCCCCTATTGGGCCTCACCCCTCAGGCCCCTGGGGGGCCACACCCATGGTTTATACAAAATTGGTTCCCCTTCTCCCAAGGATGCTTCAGACCAAATATGGAACAAATCCTTTCATTCCTACAGAAAAAGAAGGATTTTAAAGAATTTGCTATATTTCCCCTGTTTGGCCCTGCCCCTCAGCCCCCAGGGGGGCCACACCCACGATTTATACAAAATTGGTTCCCCTTCACCCAAGGATGCTTCAGACCAAATATGGAACAAATCCTTTTATTCCTACAGAAGAAGAAGGATTTTTAAGAATAATTTGCTATGTTTCCCCTATTGGGCCTCACCCCTCAGGCCCCTGGGGGGCCACACCCATGGTTTATACAAAATTGGTTCCCCTTCTCCCAAGGATGCTTCAGACCAAATAT